TTTTTTAAAAATAATAATAATAAAGGCTGGGGTGAAATAGCATTACCGTATGAATAGGGAGAAGAGGAGGAAGCTGAAGAAGAAGGACGCTGGACTTTTACCCACCGGGGGTTTTCTTCCTCGGGCTGGGGAGGTGTTGGCCCCTCTTGCTGGCGCTGCTGCTGTTCCGGGGCTCGTTGATGCTAAGCCGTGTCCGGGTTCTGTTGTTCCCCGCTGTCTAGTGAATTGTATGCGGCTGCATGATCTTGGTCATTTGAAAATTCTTCTTGGCGGACAACGTTGGAGCCCTCAGAGTATTGAAGCAGCACGCAGTCCGGAACTGAGTTGAAAACGTTATTATTACACGAGGTGAGAACTGTTATTATTATTACATATAGTCACACAAGCTCGACCGCAGCCAATACTTACTTTCCTGAGTTAGGGGATGCTGTTGCTGATCACGCAGAGCGCCTGTTTCTTTTTTAGAGAATAGAGAACTTAGTATTTATTTTTTGACGTAAGGTGTGTATATATATATTTTAAACATGGTTCTTTTAAACTTACCGGTCGCCTCGCAGTTTACTCTCTCGAGTGTTTGCTCTTCACGTAAAGCTTGTTCATATGCTCTCAAATAGCTGTCTGCCCCCGGGGATAAAAACATTTTATCAAGGAGGCATTGGGACAGACAAACATGGTTGCACTCACTGGAAGCTACTGGACTTCTCTCAGTAATCACAGTTTCCTTGGGGTCCTTTTAAGGTACATTTAGAGCAAGTGGTGGAAGAAGTATTCAAATACTTTACTTGTAAATTTACATTAACTACACTACTTCAGTAAATGTACTCAGTTACTTTCCAGCACTGTTTAGAACAGCTAAAAAACTTGTGTTCAATTTGCAATTAATAGGGAGTTAACTATGGACAATCCAGCGATTATATATTTTAATCGATTGACAGCACTTATATATAGAACCTTGTCTTTTTTTTTTTTTTTTGCATAAATGTCTTTTCAAAGGCTGGATGTTCTGGTAATGATCTGGTCATGTCTGTATTTCTAATCAGGCAAAACTGCTAAAAAAAAACAAACCTACTTTCCAGTTGAAACTCCATCTTTCCAACTGCTAAATCCACCACCTTCAGGACTTAGGCTAATTGTGTTAGTCTGCATGCTGAAAAAATAAGGATAAATGTATGGGATAAGGAGTAGGGGAAAAGGAGGGAAAGAACTGTCAGACTGGAGGTTTTTAATTATCCTGTCTGGATAAGGATGGGCTAAGACAATACTGTTCAATTTGAATATATATTTTTACAGATTTATTTTATTGGCCTCATTTCGGCTTAATTAAGAACAGACACTGCTTTATTGAGAAAGCTGTGTGTCTCAGGATCAGGAGTCAATTTCATGCATGAGCAAATTAAATCCTGTTTGCAATAAATTCCGCTCGTGGCTTTCATTCTTGTCAGAGAGATTTGTGCTGATTTAAACCTCTGTCATAAAATGAGAGCTTTACCAGTCAGTGTCGTTAGACATGATGATGCTCATGACGTGACATGATATGATGCTGATATGCCTTCATTTAAACAATGAGGCTAGTTAGGATGCACACACAGGCACAATTTCCTGGATCATAGATTGACAAAAAATAAAGTGGCAAGCAGACTGTGCACAACATGGACTTGTGTGTAGAGACAAAGTGTGAATCTGCCAATTTGAAACTTTATTATTTATCAGACCTGATGTTGAAAACAAGGGGAGTGACTTGAGAATCAGCTGTGTACTAACAGCATAAAAAGAAAAAGCTGCTAAATGGACATCCATTTGCAGTATACCATTTAAACTGTTACTAAACACTTTATTTTCATCTGTACCAGACTTCATAAAAACTCAACAATGACGTTATACACCATTAGAAAGCTCTCAGTCTCACAGTTTCAGTGATGCAAGCATATAGCTCTCACTGGTCAGTGAACACACCGATGATTGTAATCAGCAAACCAACTCAGTGATGGACAGCCTGATTTCTTCTCAATGTTTGATAAGCATAGTAGCCAATCAAAATATGAGTTCAAAAATGTAGAATATATTTGTATATAGATTCCCTAAAAATCAGACCAGGGTTATGAGTATAATCAAAAAGGTTGAAGAACAGTAACATTTTTATTTTGGGTATTTTTTTTAGCTTATTCACAATAATGGGGGTACAACGGGGTCCAAGTATTGTTTTAGTATGCTTGATTTCAGCAAGTTAATAGCTGCAGTACTTATCTGTCATCTAAAGATATAATGGGATGTACCTTACTCCCCATTCCCACTTGGACTTCACATATTATAATTTCATATCAGAACCTGTGAATCACAATAAAAAATAATAATTATAGCAATACTTTTGCATCACTGCATAGCTGTTAAGTCAAAGTCTGAGTCAGCCTTAGGACATAAATCACACTACTGAAGCACAGTTTACAGGATTAGGATTATAAACTTGTTGTATAAACATAATTTTTCCTG